GTATAGTGTGGATCATATATTACTATGTGTTATGTATAAATGATAAGCATGTGAATCTGTAATTATCTCAAAATAAATGTTTTTGGTTTTGTTTTTTTAAAGTAAGCTCTGTGAGAACTGGGATTTTGTCTCCTTGTCAGGAACTGTGTTCCCATCACTGGCATGCAGTTGGCACTAAAGAAATCTTATTAAATGTGTGACTTATTTTTTTAAAAGATTTTATTTATTTATTTATTTATTTATTTATTTATTTATTTACTTGAGAGAGAGAGCGTGCACAAGCAGAGGGAGAGGGCCCGAGGAAGAGGGAGAAGCCGCCTCCCCGCTGAGCAGGGCGCCTGACGCCCGGCTCGATTCCAGGACCCGGAGAGCATGCCCAAGCAGAAGGCAGACCCTTAACCGACTGAGCCACCCAGGCGCCCCACATGTGTAACTTACAAAACGATATATTTGGTCATGTCTAAAAGAGAATGGGGCAAGGAGTAGGATCAACAGCAGGGGACCCTGAGCCCAGGAAATCCGGGTCTCCAGAACCCTTTCCACCGCCCCATATTACCTCTCCATTAATGGAGTATTGACTCGATATGACTGAAGTCTTGGTTAGCACTGTCTTAGGACACGCTCAGTCATAGATCGTCTTTGTTGCCTATTATGATTACAACAGTGCAGGGCAGACAGGACCATCACCTTACAAATGCGTTCTGGTTCGCTTAAAGCACGACCAGACCCACACTCTCCTGAACTTGCAAGAATGGGTAAGGACGCTGCCTGCGAGAGCCCGGAAGGCTCACAGCCGGCCCAGGTCCTCGGCTCCGCAGTTGAGGTTTCAGGTTTCAATCCTCCCAGGAGCCCGGGCTGTCGCAGCGCGCACGGTGCGGCGGCCTCCTCCGCCCGCACGTCTCCACGCGAAAGCCAACTCCAGGCGCGGCCGCGCACTCGTCTGCCCTAGACGGAGGTTGGGCGCCGCGGCTGAGCCTGCTGCTAGGCTGCTCAAGCTGGGCGCGCGGGGAGGCGGCGAGCACAGCTGGGCCGGGACTTCCTTCCTCCCTCTACCGCAGGACAACAAAACAACCCGGCAGCAGGCGCTGAGCCCTTGGCAGCTGTCTGGGCGAGAGGCGCAGCGATGGGCTCCGTGCTGAGCAGCGATAGCGGCAAATCCGCCCCCGCCTCGGCCGCCCCGCGGGCCCTGGAGCGCAAGGGGGACCCCGAGCTGCCCGTCACGTCCTTCGACTGCTCCGTGTGCCTCGAGGTGTTGCACCAGCCCGTCCGGACCCGCTGTGGCCACGTGTAAGTGCCAGGGAAGCTCGGCTTGCGCGCCCACTTCTGGGGAGGGCGAGGTTGGGGGAGGCGAGGGCAGGGGGGATTTCAGAAGGCAGCGCCTGAATGGAGCTACTGCAGGGAGACACCCGGACCCGTCGAGTCCAGGCCACGGGAAAATTGACCGGTCGGAAGGTGACACAGGATTTCAGGAGGCGAAAACAGCAACAAGCGGGCCCTGCAGCGTCCCCTGCACCACCCCGCCATGCCCGTCGCTGCTTGCTCCCGAAGCCCAGGTGTACAGCCCAGGGATGGGGTTCCCAGGCGCGGGACCCGCCAGGAGCCAGGGCGCCCCAGCGGGGGAGGGTGCTCTTGGCTGGACAGCCAGCACCCGCCTGGGCACACGGCAGTGGGCTCCTGCAGAACAGTTATCCCACTGAGCTCTGTTAATCCGAAGGTGCTCCCCTCATCGCCCCCCAGGTCGGTTTTGTTTTGCCGGCTGTCTGCACGTGTTCCAGAACGCCCACTGAGGCTAGCCTCTTGAGCAAACAAAGATCTGTGCAAACTGGCCTTCCACCCCCACCTCCCTTTCCTAATACAAACACTCAGGCACCTCAAAGATCAACGCAAATTGGAACGTCCAAGTGACTCTGTGGTCGTAGGAGTTTAAGTACCCGCCAGGGTGGGGCTGGGAATTGAACGTTGGCACCGAGCCGTTGAGTGTAGCCCTTTAAAATCCGACCACGAAGTGACAGGAGGTTGTAGACTACCTGTCTTACGCAGCGCTTCCCTAAATCGATGGAAAGTATACATAAAAATGAGCAGGTTCTAAAAAGAGTTTAAAAACAAAATCCCTATATAAAATTGGCACGTCCTTAATTTGTGCTTGAGTAACTAGTAATGGGAGTTGGATCTGTGGATTCGTGTTCTCTGTTTACGTAGAAGTTTTCTTTCCGTGGCTGCATGGGTGTGCGACCCAGTGTGTGCGTGTTGGGGTGGGCGGGGCGGGGGGGGAGTTGCATAGAGCGGAAGCCCACTTAATGTCTTCTTTGGCTGACCGTTTAACTATAGTTTGATGAAGCACCAGGGCAATACCGCAATAGCTAGTAAGTGCTTTTGGCTTACCAGGGAAAAAAGACCGTATTATAAATGCAAGGGCACAAAATGTTTTTCAGAGGGCTTAGGTGGTCCTTGACACCTAGAGACTAGTAACTGAGAAGCACCACTGAAAGGCAGCGTATGATCCAGGAAGAAAAATGCAGCCCACACAAGTGTTTAAATAGAGAGTGCCCTGGGCATTATTTTGTGGCTGTATTTCCAAGGCCTGTTGTTTCAGCCTTGTACTTTAAACTCCAGCCTAATTGACCTCCTGACTGATTACTGATGTTGTTTCCCAGCTGTCCAAATGTAGCTCATTGACATAAATCCCAAGGCCAAGATGGAAGCCAAGATACATATTAGTTCAGTGCAGTAAAAACTTCCTGATAACTACGGGTAAATTTAGTCTGTATGAGCATTAAAACTTTAAAGTTGCACCAAAGATGCACAGTGGGCATCAAGTCTTGAAGGTTCCTTTTGTAGAACTGAATTGAGTGACTTTGATATTGGAGATTGTTATCTGATTAGGGATTGTTTTCCCCAGTTTAGATGTTGAAGGCTGTAACTTACTGTTTGCAGTGTTTTTGCCTCTGCTAAAGGATAATATAAATGTGTAAAAAGTTAAATCTTTTGTTTAATCTTTTTCTTTGTTAGAGTTTGAATAGGAAACGAGCAACTGGAAAAATAGTCATGAAGTAGCACAACAAGGGCTGGACGAATGGCCTTCCCTCACTTTACTGTTCTTTGTTTTGACAAATCTGTGTCCATTGTTCTGGCTGTGGGCAGAATTTCCATATTCCTCCTTTTAGCAAATTTACTTGGGCCCCTTCCACTTTATAAAATGTTAACTGGAGTTCCTTCTGCAGTGGAGATGGTGAGTGCTGTTAACACCATTTATACTTCCTAAATGAATTATTCTCTTCCATTGACCTTAAATTGGAAAATGAAGAAATGCAAATTAAATCTCTCTATGTTACCCCATATTGAAGCTAATTTCCAAACTTGTTGAACTCATTTATTGATGCTGATTTCTGTTTATAAACCTATTTTGAGTCAAGCAAGTTATTAATAATGGCAAAAATACATTGAATGAATATGTATGTAACACTCTATAAATTATAGAAACAGTGGGCTTGAGAGAGCAGGATTTGAAATTCAGCCCTGCCACTGACCTGCTGTGTGACCACCGCGTTGCTTAATCTCTTTGACTGTTTCTTCATTTGTAAAATAGGGTGAAAAATGGAATTTTTATGAGTATTTAGAAAATGTAAAAGTAGCCCATCATAAAGCCTCAACACATAATTTCTATTTCCTTTAAAGTCATTCCACAAATGAAAAACCCAGGAATGGGTATTATTTCTTATCTATATTTCTTTTGGAATAAAACTGGGCCGCAAAAGATAGATCTATGACATTTCTAGCCTTCCTTTTAGCTTGGTTCTTTTTCCTTTGGTGGCCTTTAATTAAGAAGTTCTATTTTAATGTGCTGTCATTTCAAATTGACTTTATTCATATCTCTGTATCAGTTGTTAAAAAAGATTTTGGGGAAAAGGCTTCCTACCTCTGCCTTATCTTCCGTTATCAGTGGGGGGCAGGGGGAGGGAGTAGGTAAGTTGACACTGTATAAATGAAACTGAAAGGGAATCTGATTTACATTTAAAATAAGTATTTATAAAGAAATGTGTTGACCAGTTGGGTATGATAAATAAAGGGGGAGAAAGGAGTGGAAGGCAACTCCCTAACAGGTGACAGAGATAAAGGGGGGCAGAGTTCAGCCGCCGAGGTAATGAACTCGTGATGGGGCTTGTCAAGTGTATAGTAGTCTGATAGGGAGATACCCAAATGGAAACATCCCCAAGGTACTGGGACCATTAATGGATTTGGGGAAAGGTCAGAGCTGGAGCTAAGGGAGTTATCTAAAAGCATCAAGAGGTTGAGAATGGGTCTAACAAAGCTAATAGGTACAGACTGGAGCATACTTGAGGGTACGAAGAGCCACATCTTCATTGAACTGAGTTGATTAAAATGAACTGAGTTGATTAAATTGCTCTAAGTCACAGAATTTGCCTAATTTTTAAAATGAAACTGTTGAGGATCATTCTAATGGGCTTTCAGGTAAGCGGATTAAAACTTGCCCTTTGTGGTCAAGTTACAACCTGCATCAAATTAGTGGTTCTCTAAGTAGAGTCCAAGAGTTTTCTAAAGAGTTTTCAACTGACCCAGAAATATACATCAGTGCTTTCATTCTTTTTTTTAAAATATAGTATATTTTGGGGCGCCTGGGTGGCTCAGTTGTTTAAGTGACTGCCTTCGGCTCGGGTCATGATCCTGGAGTCCCGGGATTGAGTCCCGCATCGGGCTCCCTGCTCGGCAGGGAGTCTGCTTCTCCCTCTGACCCTTCC